CTTGTCCTCCCCCTGTCCTCCTCCTCATTATCCTCTTGTCCTCGTCCTCCCCCTCCACGTCCTCCTCCCGTGCCCGCTCCTCCTCCGTCTCTTCCTCCTCCGCAACCTCCTCCTCCTCCTTCTCCTCCCTCTCCTCCTGCAACTCCTCCTCCCCTCGCCCTTTTCCTTCTCTCCATTCTCCCCCTTCACCCTCTGGCCCGCCTTCTCCACCTTACGTACCTCTTCCTCCTGTCCCTCCTCCTCCTCCTCCTCGTCCTCCTCCTCCTCCTCCTCCTCCTCTTGCTTTCTCCTCCTCCCCTGCATCGGGGGTGGGGGGGGGAGGGAGAGTGGGATTCGGAGGAGGGGGAGTGAACCCGCCCAATGGGATGTGACAGATGCGGGCCAGCACCGGATAGAAGAAGAAACCTGCCCGTCACAGGAGGAGAAGGAGGAAGGGAAAGAGGAGGATGAGGGGGGAGGGGGAGGAGGAGGAGGAGGAGGAGGGAGGAGGAGGAGGAGGAGGAGGAGGAGGAGGGGGAGGATGAGGAGGAGGAGGAGGAGGAGGAGGAGGAGGAGGAGGAGGAGGGGAGGAGGAGGAGGAGGAGGAGGAGGAGGAGGAGGAGGACGCGGAGGAGGCAGAAGAGGAGGAGGAGGAGGAGGAGGACGACGACGACGACGAACTCTTTCGCACATCCCTGCCGTCTTTTTCGACGTTGTCCTTGTTCGCCTCATCCACCTCCTCCTCCTCCTCCTCCTTCTTCCTCCACGTGTCAGGATCGGCGTGTATCTTCCGTCGTTCTGAATGGCGTTATCGCTCCAACACGGGACCATTTCTGGTACCACTTACTTCCTCGTCGCTGCCGCCTACTTCCCCTCTTCCGCCTTCCCCTACTCCCCCCAGGCCATTCTACACATCATGGTCTTGCTGCTGCTACTCCTCCTGCTGCTACTGCTGATCCTGACCATGCCTCCTTATCCTTCACCTCTTCCTCACGTTCATCCGCCACCTCCTCTTTCTCCACACTATGCAGAACCCCGTATCACACGATGGGGTCGTTTGGGGATCATGGCCCTCCAGGACCCCCAATCGGCGGATGCAACACCATTCAGCGCAATGTGAAAGATGGCGGGGATGGGTTGGATGTCAGATATAGAGTGGGCGCGCCTAGCTTGTCCTCTCCTCTCTCTGTCATCCTCCTTCTCATCCTCACCCCCCTCTTCTTCCTCCTCTTCATTCTCCTGCTCCTGCTCCTGCTCCTGCTCCTGCTCCTGCTCCTCCTCCTCCTCCTCCTCCTCGGTGTCATCGGCACGAAAAGCGTCGAAACCTCTCGTGAAGCGGAGACTCTCATGGAGAGCCGTTCTCCTGGCCGCAACTCCTACTCGCAGGAGGCGGAACAACCTCGGAGGCGTCCGCAGGAGCGTCGTCGCGAGAGCGAGGCTCGCCCAAATCTTTGCGAACCCTCTGCTGTGCCTCGGGATCCCCGCTCGGGTCGAATCTCGGTCGTGTGCCGTGGGGCTCGAGGAACATCCGCCCAACAAATCGGTTCCAAATGCCCCTCCTGGGTAGGAACAACGAACGGCGACACCAGCACCACCAGGACGAGGAGATGCGAGGAGCAAGGGGGTGTCTCCCTGGTGGTGTGATCCCCCGTCTCTCGCTCGCGGCAGCCCAGGCCTCCAGCTCGGGGAGGCATCGTGGACCTCCCCGCTGGACGTGGACCCCCGGTGGCGTTGGTGTCGCCGCTCCTCCCCCCGACCGGGGCAGTGACCTCAGCAGAGGCTTCCGGCGGCCTGGAGCCGTGGCGACGGGAGCCTGCCAGACGCGCCCGCGGCCCCGCGAGACGGCAGCGTCGGCGACGTCGTCTGGTAGAGCCGTCGTCGATGCGGCGCGCGGCGGCGCAGCAGCAGGCTGCCATGGGGAGTCCAGGCGGCAGGACGTGCGCACCCAACAGCGCCACAGTAGGGCAGGCCTGTAGGGCAACCGTAGGGCCAATCCCCCAGGCCAACCCTGGGCCTAGGGTTCTGTCGGGCATGCCCCCCTGCAGGCGAATGTTGGGCGAGAAATCAAACATAATCAAACCGTGTTCAAACATGGCTCAACAATAATGAGTCGAAAAATGGTTCCCAGGCTATGGGTTGACTAGTTTTGCATATTCCTCCCCTGTAGAGGGACATGCCCGACTAAAGCCTAGGGCAGGGCCTCCCCCCTGGGTCTACGCCAGGGCCTACCCTAGGCAAACCCTAGGGTTAGGTCGGGCATGCTCCCCTACAGGCGGATGTTGGATGAAAAATGGAACATAGCCCAAACAAGATTCAAACATGGTTCAAACAGATTCAAAACATAGGTCCCAGGCTATAGTTTGATTCTTTGTGCATTGATTACTCCTGTAGAGGGCAGGCCCGACTTAGCCTGGGGCAGGGCCTACCCCGTGGGTCTGCCCCAGGGCCTACCCCAGGCCTGCCCTAAGGCCTTCGCCCCCCCCGCCCCCACCCACTCACTCATGGGTCGACCGAGCACACCTACGGTATAGCGAGCAAGCACACGGCCACTTCTTCTCCCACTTCCAGTTCATCCAAGCCAACAAGCCCTTCAGCTTCGGCAACAACTTGCTCGTTGTCGCACCCCTCCCCCTGTTCGCGACGCGCTCCGTGGCGCGCCCGGGGGGGGGAAGGCACAGGAGGCCGCCCGTCTCCAAGGGTTGGCTCGGGCGTGTCCCCCGACAGGCGGATTTGGGACGAAAACTGAAGAAAGCCAAAAAACAAAATAGTCAAAAACGAAAGTCGGGAATCGGTGATAAAATTAGGTCGGGCATGTCCCCCGACAGGCGGATTCTGAAGGACAAATTCAAAATAGTCGAAAATATTACAACAATGCTGGACAATAGCTTTTAGAAATAGTCCCCCGACTATGTTTTAACTATTTCTGAAAATTCCCCCTGTAGAGGGACAGGCCCGACTTCAGTCCAAGGGTGGCGGCGGCGCTTCTTCAGACACCCATCGGGGCTTCCGAGAAGCCCGTCGTCGTGTCTCTTCCCGAGGCCACAGGGAGGGCTTCTCAGGCCGGAGGGCTTCCGAAAGCCCCCGCCGCCATCTGAGAGAAGGACGGCCCCCCATCACACCCGCGCTCTCCCGAAGCCTCTGTGAGTTCCTGTGCGCGCTTTCGTGCCGCTCCTGAGCTTTGCAAGCTGGACGCCCGAAGGAGGTGCTCCTGGTTGACCCAGAAAGGGGTCCAGCTGAAAGGAGGTGGTGCAATAGGTTTGGGGCAATTGTATTGCAAATGTATTGCGCCAGAGAATTGTATTGCATTGTATTGCAATTAACGTATTGCACGCGAAAGCCAAGCAAACCATCCGCGCCCCGGAATGAATTGCACGCCCCAGATGTATTGCAACATCACCAATCTATTGCACCAAATATATTGCACCACCCCCTTGTCGCTGGACCCCCTTTCAGGTCAACCCGAATGCTAGCATTAGGTCGGGCATGTTCTCCTGCAGGCGGATTTTGAAAGAAACATAAAAAATAGCCAACACAAAAAATCAAACAGATCAAACATCAGTAGAGAGATCATTCCCCGTCTTTTGTCTGATCACTGCTGCGTATTCATCCTGTAGACGGACGTGCCCGACTTAAATCCCATCCGAACAACCCACGGCACCGCTCGGGCGGACAGCAGACAGAAAGCCGAGGCCAAGGTGGCGACGCCGGCCTGCTGCATTCCCAAGAGGTCCCTGCCTCCGGAAGACTCTGGAGGACCACGTGCCCAGAAATCGCAGCATCACCAGGAGGCTCCTCCCCCCTAGCCTCCCCGCCTCTCCTCCGTCGCCCAAGACACGGACCACGGCACTGTGCCTCCCCTCTTGGGGGATGCACCGCGCACTCAGTCTGATAACTGAGCAGCTCTTTCCCGATCGGCGCATCCCGTTGCGTTGGGGGACGAGGGGAAGAGAGGGGGGCGCGGACAGCTGGTGATCAGCGCGCCACAAGCCACGGTACAGTGCCAGGGCCACGGCACAGCTCGGCACAACTGACGCCAAATCGTTCACACGCAGCTAGGGGCGAAGTAGGCCAACATCAAATTTTAGCTAGCGCTGCATGCACATGCCGATGTCAATTTGCGCTGCGTGCAAACACAGACGTGCCAGCTAATACGCAGCCGGGGTTTCGATAGACGAAAAGACTGATAACGACATCTGCACTGGGAGCGGCAAAGGGCAATAGGCGCAGGCCCAGTCTGAAACCGAATGGCAAGACTGAGCTAAGGACCAGTACAAGCATCAGTGGCCATCAAGAGCCAACGCCAAAGGCAAGCGGACTATACCAACTGCACGGGGCTCACTTCCAATCGAACGCATGCTATAAGTGCTCAACATACCCGTCCTCCACCCCACCTCCCCATCCACGTCAAGAGGAGGAGCAGGATTACGGGAGGAGAGGTGTAAGCGATTAGCTAACTCCCTGGGTAATTCGCTTGAGTCTGACGGCAGTTGCCTGAGTCTAATGTCCATACCCTATAAGCTAAATAATCTGGAGGAATGCGATAAGGGGAGAGCAAGGAGAGGAGGCATGGTAGAGGGAGGGTAGGGGCATGATGGGGAGGGGCGCAAGAGAAAGAAGGGGTCAGAAGGAGGCAGAGGAAGGGAAGGAGGCGGAGGGGAGGACGCATGGGGAGGAAAGGGATCATGAGTTGGAACTGGATAACGGAGTGAAGAGGGAGAGGAGAAGAAGAAGGATAATAAACAAGAGGAGGGAGGGCGAGGAGTAGGAGGCAGAGGGGGGAGGAGGAGGAGTAGGAGTAGAAGTAGGAGTAGGTGGAGGAAGAGGAGGAGGAAGAGGAGGAGGAGGAGGAGGAGGAGAGGAGGAGGAGGAGGGGGGAGGCGGAGTGAGGAGGAGAAAGCGAAACAGCAAGAGGAGAGAGGGAGGAGCAGGAGGAGGGGGATGGAGGAGAAGGCAGAGGCTATGGGGGGCGGGAGGTCCGAGGGCGGCAGCTACAGAGGGGGAGGCTCGGCGCCCCAAGGTGCTCACGAGCTCGTCCTCGGCGCGACGGCGCGCTGCCGCCTGGAGAGGCCCGGCGCGTCCCTCAGCAATCGACGAGCATGGAGGGGGAGGAGGAGGAGGAGGAGGAGGAGGAGGAGGAGGAGGAGGACTAAAGGGCTAAAGGGCTGACGACAACGAACGTCGGATCACGTGAATTACTGGCGGAGGTCTTCAAGATTGGCTTCTCTTACAATCTTGGGGGGCCCTTTCACACATGGGTGAAGGCCTCTCCTGATCCTCGCCAGATTCTGCCTCCCCTTCGGGGTGGGTGCAACACAAGGTCTGCAGAGGTGCCTGGGAAGAAGGAGGAGGAGGAGGAGGCGGAGGAGGAGGCGGAGGAGGAGGATGAGGAGGAGGCGGAGGAGGTAGAGGAGGAGGCGGCGGAGGAGGAGGATCCGGAAGAGGCGTCAAAATTGAGCCAGGTCGAGCGGGTCGCAAGACCCGCCCCGTTCCCATCCCCCCTCCTCCAAAATAAGGATCGGGTGTGGCACAACTTCTTGTTGGGACTGAGATGCGTTCCCCCTTGGCAGATGGAAAGCGCTCGCGCGCCACCCCGATCCCGACGACGTGGCGGAGGCCGCGCGCAGAGGCGGGGGCGGCAGCACTTCCGATGGGCGCGGCGAGGACGCAGCGTGCGCCGCGCTGGCACAGCACCGCCAAGCTCACTCGCAAACGCCGCGGGGCTTGGACGGGGTTGGCATTTCGCCCGCGCTCGCGCGGCACCGCTGCCGACGTCGCGCTCGTGCGCTCCGGCGAACGAGCCATGCGCCGCGCCTGCGCGGGGCACGCACGGCGCTTGGGCGAGGGCGGCAAAACGCCCAGTCGCGCCCCGCCGAGGCGGGAGCGCAATTGTCAGGCGAAATCTGCACGGCGCCGGGGCGAGAGCGACACGTTCGTCCGCACGAGCGTTGGCGAAGTCGCGTGCGACAAGTGTGCGCCGCGCTCAAGCGAGAGCTCATCCCTTTGGAAAAAGGAGCGTGGCGCCGAGGCGACAGCAACATTTCGGCCGCTCACACGGGATGCGCGCGCGCCCCATCCCAGTCCTGCCACGCATTCTGCACTGTTGACGACAGAATATTCATGTTGTTGCGCGACAGATTGATTTTAATTTGCTCTTTGAGAGGTAGGACGGAACACCCTGGATGGGGTTGCTGTCGGCCGATGCTGTAGCAGAGTGGGCGTATATATATATATATATATATACATATATATATACAAGACTGCATTGGCGCTGCGCGCCATGCACCTTGGTCCTTTGAGTTCTGCACGCAAGCGGAACGCGTGCGTGCGTACATGCGCGCACGCATGTATATACACGCGCACGTGCATGCACGTTCCGTATACATGTCTAGGTGTATGCAATATACTTACATTGTTGTATGTGTGTATACAGCGTAACTCTGCACATATATGTGCAAGGGTATGAACATGCATATGCAACTCGTACGGGGCATCCTCGGGCATCTTCGCTGCATGCCACGAGACCCTCAACGACTGGGTCACAATGTGAAATGTCATGGGAGCAAAATCAACGAATGTTGGCATTCGGAAACATCGTGGGGGTGTTTTCGGGGCCCTCGTGGGCCGTTTTGGCGCCTTCATAAGCCGTCCTGGGGCCTTCTTGGGCCGTCTTGGGGAGCTTGGGCCCGCTGGAGCCCCCTTTGGACCCATCTTGGGCACTTCCGGGGACCTCCCATGGCCCTGTTGGGTCTGTGCTGGGAGCCCTTGGGGGGCCTCTTGGTTCCATTATGGGCTGTCTTGGGGCTCTCGTGGGCGATCGTGGGGCCCGGCTCGGCCGTCTTGAAGCTTTCTTGGGGGCCTTTTGGGGCGTCTGGAGGCGATCTCGGGGGCTTTGAAACCGTCTTGAAAGCTGATGAAATCCGAAAGATCTGCAAAAATTGTAAGTTTTACGAAGGGAATGGGGCAATTTTTGTGGTTTGAAGGCCCCTTGGAAAACTTCTTGGGGTGCCTTGGGGGTCTTTATGTTGGCATTCGGAAACATCGTGGGGGTGTTTTCGGGGCCTCGTGGGCCGTTTTGGCGCCTTCATGGGCCGTCCTGGGGCCTTCTTGGGCCGTCTTGGGGAGCTTGGGCCCGCTGGAGCCCCCTTTGGACCCATCTTGGGCACTTCCGGGGACCTCCCATGGCCCTTTTGGGTCTGTGCTGGGAGCCCTTGGGGGGCCTCTTGGTTCCATTATGGGCTGTCTTGGGGCTCTCGTGGGCGATCGTGGGGCCCGGCTCGGCCGTCTTGAAGCTTTCTTGGGGGCCTTTTGGGGCGTCTGGAGGCGATCTCGGGGGCTTTGAAACCGTCTTGAAAGCTGATGAAATCCGAAAGGCGAATATGCTAAAATTGTAAGTTTTACAAGGGAATGGGACGATTTGCGTGTTTTGAAGGCCCCTTGGAAAGCTTTTTGGGGTGCCTTGGGGGTCTTTTGGGCCGTCCTGACGCAATTGGAGTCCCTCTTGGAGCGCTCTTGTGCTGTCTGGGGCCTCCCTTGAGCCTTTCTGATGACCCCTCGGATCGCTCTGGGTCTGCTGGCAAGGCGTTTGTGGAGACCCGGAACCCCAGATCCCGGGGGTCCAGTTTTTTTTTTTTTTTGGGGGGGGGGGTCCCCCCCCCCCCCCTGGGCTTGTAAAAATATAGGAAGAGGAATATCAATATATCTATATATATATATATATATAGATATGGAGAGAGAAAGGAGGAGAGGAGAGGGAGGAGCCGGTCCAAAGGGCGTCGGCGACGTCGACGTCGCAGCCGCCGCCGCCGCCGCCGCCGTCCCCCTTCATGGGTCAGCGGCATCGGCCGTAAGGCCAGGTCGGGCGTGTCCTCCTACAGGCGGATGTTGGAAGAGAAATGTGGCATTGTCAAGACATCCCCCCCAACAAAAACAAAAACAGCAAGAACAAAAGTCGTCTCCAGACTTTTGCCTTCACCATGTTTGAATATCCCTCATGCAGAGGGACGTGTCCGACTTCACCGCAAGGCGTGCCCAACGAGGAGCGAAGATGCTCCGAGGCTCCGAGGCCGCGGCGGCCCTCGGCCGCGGACGGAAGCCCCGACCGACGGAGTGGCTCGAAGGCCGGGGGGCCCGCCTGCACCCAGAGCGACTTAGATTTCGGCGGCACGACTTCGATCCTCGACCCCATCTTCACCTCGCCCCCTCAGAATTACTCATGTACGCTCGAAGCTCCATCTCCGATCCTCGATCCTGGACCCCTCGACCCCTCGACCCTTGAATCCTGGACCCCCCGATCCTCGACCCTCGGCAGCGGGCGGGAGGGCAGGAGGAGGGCAGGAGGAGGAGGAGGATGGAGGAAGGGGGGGAGGATGACCCCTCCTCCGCCTCCTCCTCCTCCTCCTCCTCCTCCTCCTCCTCCTCCTTAAGACGAAGCCAGGACGAAGATAACGTCAGGTGAGGATGAATGAAAATCTCTGGAATCCGGCGGCTCTGGAGAATGTCTGGGGAGCCGCGTCCTTCTAGGGCGGTCCAGAACGCTTTGAGAGCGTTCTGGAAGGCTTGGGAACGGATTTATCCTCGTCCTAGCCCCGTCCGGCCTACCACCTTCCTCCCTCTCCTCCCCCCCTCTCCTCCTGCCCTCAACCTCTTGACCACCAGAACTCCGACTTCGTCCTGATTGCTTATTTTCACCGAGCGGACTGCATTACCTTTTCCCCGGAACCGGCGTTTCATCCCGAAACGATTTTGACGATCCCAGGGCCCGGCAGTGGCCCCCATAGGCTCAAAACCAAAAACCTTCCATCGTGACTTTTGCGACGACGCGTGGTGATCTGGCTTTCCGGCCTGGGTCTCCAGCGGCCGTTCGGGACGACTCCCAGAACGCTGTCTGCGAGCCATAGCTGCTGCGAGAGCACCCCGAGGCTGTAAGACCTCGGGGAGCAAACGAAGACGTCCGAAATCGGTTCAAGATCAATCCTCACACCCCTCCTGGGGTCCATCCTGACTAGTTCTTCGAACTGCGTCCGGCTGTTGCCACGAGAGGGCCACCATGGGCCACCACAGGACAGAAGGACCGATGAGGACCTCGAGGGTCCATCGACAGAGCCACCATGGGCACCCCGAGGCTGGACAACCTACGAGGAGCCTGCGAGAACGTCCGAACACCTCGAACCACGAACGCACGGAAGAGGAGTGGGGGGTCCCTCGACCCCTCGGCGGCGGCGGCCAGTCACGCCGAGGGCCTGCGGGCCCACCGCCTCCTCCTCCTCCTCCTCCTCCTCCTCTTCCTCCTCCTCCTCCTCCTTCCCCTCCTCCTCCCTCCTCCTCCCTCCTCCTCCTTCTCCTTCTCCTCCTCCTCCTCCTCCTCCTCCATCTCCTCTTCCTCCTCCTCCGCCTACCCCTTCCCCCTCCTTCTCCTCCCCCTCCTCCTTCTAGCTAACTCCTCCCCGTCGCACCTCGAGACGTGTCGGTAGGGCGGGCTAGGCGTTGCGCCTCTGACTTCTTTACCACTAAAGATCCTGACAGTTACACACATGCAGCAATTACGCAATTGAGGGCGGGCTGTTTTCAATGTGTTGCTCTCGTGTTAGCGCCGCGCGCATTCGTCTTTTAAAGTGTGCTGGAGCTTCACGGATGAAGGGCGTGCCCATTTCTAAATGTGGATCTGGCCTTCGCGCCGCGCATAGTGGCTTGAAAGTTTGCGACAGCTTCACGGATGGAGGGCGGACTGTGTTTGAATGTGGTTCTCGCCCTAGCGCCGCGCACATTCGTCGTAAAAGCTTGCAAGGGTTTCACACATGGAGGACGGATCGTTTTCAGCATGTGACTCTCGCCTTAGCCCCGCGAGCATCCGTCTTCAAACTGTGCAATCGTTTCACGGATTCTTGCGGCCGGCGCCCCAGAAGCGATGTTTTTGCGTTGGTACCATACTGGGTCGCTAGGGCGCAACAGATCTGCGGATTCTTGGTGCTGACATTCCAAGACGGATGTTCTGGCACGGTGCAGGATCACCAGGACGCGACCGTAACGTAGTGCGCGGCGTTGAGGCTGCAAGAACGGTGTCTGGGCACTGTTGACGATGTTCAAACGGGTATCTTCCAACGACGCGTTTCCCGCAGTGACACTGAGTGCTTGCAGGGACCTATGAAGATGGAACTTGGAGGGAGGGTTTATTGCAACATCGTTGATGGTTTTAAGGTTACGCTGGACTTGTTTCTCCTCCTCCTCCTCCTCCTCCTCCTTCCCCTCCTCCACCTACTCCTCCTCCCCTTCCTCCTTCCCCTCCCCCTCCTCCCTCCCTCACTCCCTCCTTCCCTCCCTCCCTCCCTCCCTCCCTCCTCCCCCTCCCCCTCCCTCTCCCCCTCTTCCTTCCCCATGGCTTCCCCTCGCCAGACAACACAGCCCGTCAGGAACCATCGTGGCGGCGGTCATGTCTGCGAAGCAGGCAAGCCTGCATGGATTGCTCCCACAGTATTGCTAGTTGCATCGTTGCGGACAGCTTTCTGGGAGTTTCCCCCCCTCCTCCCCCTGCTCGACCCTCCTCCTCTCCTTTCCCCATCCCTTCCGCCTCCTCCTCCTCCTCCTCCTCCTCCTCATTCTGCTTTTCCTCCTCCTCCTCCTCCTGCTTCTCCTGCTTCTCCTCCTTCTCCTGCTTCTCCTGCTTTTCCTCCTTCGCCTCCTCCTCCTCCTCCTGCTCTTCCTCCTGCTCCTCCTCTCCTCCTCCTCCTCCTCCTCCTCCTCCTGCTCTTCCTCCTGCTCCTCCTCCTCCTCGTCCTCCTCCTCCTCCTCCTCCGCCACCGCCTCCTCCCACTCCTACCCCCGTCCTCCCCGTCGACCCCTCAACGACCCCTCGACCCGTCGACCCATCGATCACTCGACCCCTCGAACCATCCCCCCTCCTCCTCCTCCTCCTCCTCATCTTCTCCTCCTCTTCTCCTCCTCATCCTCCTCCTCCCCCCTCCTGCCCCCATTTTCCTTCCCTTCTCACCTTCTCCCCTCCCTCCCCCTCTCCCCCCATGCCCCTTTCGACCCCTTGACCCCTCCTCGACCTCGACCCATCCATGCCTCGACCCTCGACCCTCGGCGGCGGCGGCGGCCGGCCACGCGGGGGGCCTGCGGGCCGCGGGGCTCGCCAGCAGCGGCGGCGTCGCCGCCGTCCAGGGAGCGGAGGCGCTGCTCCTGCAGGGAAGCCTCGGACACCATGATCCTTCGCGGGAGGAGGGGGGAGAGGAGGACCAATGCAAACCCAAGACGCATCAACGATGTTACAATAACTAACCCCCACATCCGAATTCACTATTCATACGTCCGTGCAAAAAAACAATAACACATTCTTCAATTCGGGAAACGCCCCGTTGGAAGACGGAGAACTATCAATCGTGCCAAACGACCATCCCGGAGACTTCAACGCCGCGAATAGCTGATGTGTTATGACAACCATAAGTCGTACCATAACGATACGTTGGGGACTTTTACACAGCGAACCAACGCTTGACTCCAGCATCCTGCCGATCATAGATCGCGCCAGAACGCCATTCATGGGACTTCAACTCTAATCGCCCGTGAAGCAGCTGCACTTTTAGCACGGATGCGCGCGTCAATTAGATGATTATTCGAGTCTCAATGCTCAACACTCCCCCCCGACACTCAATCCTCGACCTCTCAACCCTGGAACCTCGACCCCTCAAACCTCGACTCTGCAACCCTCGCCCCTCAATCCCTCGACCCTCGAGCCTCGATTTGTCAACATTCGATCCTCTTGCCCGCGCCTTCCCCGCGGCACGCCCTCTCACTCCTGTCCTCCCCGCTTCCTCTCGCCCCGCCCTCCTCCCCACTTCCTCTGCCCCCCTCGATCCTGCACCCGGTCCTTCGCGCACCTCTCTGCTCCTCCTCCTCCTCCTCCTCCTCCTCCTCCTCCTCCTCCTCCTCTTCATCATAATCATCATCATCATCATCATAATCATCATCAACATCATCATCATCATCATCATCATGTGGATCCCCGTGTTTAGCTGATCGGGTATCTGTCCTCACCCGCCCACCCACGACGGCAGGACGTGCAGCTGGGCGAAGCCCTCAGAATTACGTCGCCGTCGGACAAAGGGTGAACATGGAAGGAAACGAGAGCACGCCTCTTTCCAGCAGCAGGATGCGTGACCACACGAATCCAATCTTGATTGCAGTAACTGGCCTGCGAGCGCGAGGCCGCCACCGCACAAAGAACTGAAAAGTATGCAACGCGTATTGTACACTGGTCCCTGCAGAGATCCCCGAGTGGCTTATCATCGCCCAGGGCAGGGAAGAATGCACGAAACGGACACGCCACTATCCTACCACTGGACGAAATCATTAGTGCATACGGGGGGGGCCCAGAAACAACTACGAAGGGGGAGATCGCACTCACTTCATATTAAGTAACATTCAGAGACCTCATTCTCCAATAATGTGGATCCCCGTGTTTAGCTGATCCGGTATCTGTCCTCACCCGCCCACCCACGACGGCAGGACGTGCAGCTGGGCGAAGCCCTCAGAATTACGTCGCCGTCGGACAAAGGGTGAACATGGAAGGAAACGAGAGCAAGACTCCTTTCCAGCAGCAGGATGCGTGACCACACGAATCCAAGATTTATTGCAGTAACTGGCCTGCGAGCGAGAGGCCGCCACCGCACAAAGAACTGAAAAGTATGCAACGCGTATTGTACTCTGGTCCCTGCAGAGATCCCCTCGGGCTGTGATGGTATACACATGACACTCCACTGAATGCCATACCCCACTCGTGTACTCTCTGCATATCAAGAAGTTCACCATCACAGCCCATTCCCGCCAGCTAGACGTGCGTACTGAAAGGCAGACTTCACTTGCATCCAGTAACGAAACCAGAAGGGCGGGAAAGAGCCGGCAGGAATGTCGGACCTGTGGAGGGGCACGCGCAGCAAGTCTAGGTCGATCGCCGCTTCCGTGCACGATCGAACTCTGTCGGAAATACGTTCCAGCTGCGCGCTCACATCGGCTCCGAACCACTCCCACATTGGGTTTGCCCACACTGGCTTGAAAACGAGAGCCGACCAAGTGAATCTGACTCCCACAAAATACGTAGAGAGAAGCGTCACCTCGTACTCAAAGACTTCAAACTTGTGAATCGCCACAAACTTCTGCTCAGACTTCGCAAGCGAAGGAAGCGTCGGGCCGACCCGATCCAGCGCCTTCCAGATCTCAGCGGCCCGATCCTCAGGTAACTGATGAAGTGCGTCCGAAAGCGCAGCAGTCTGATCTGAGTTGCGGGCGCCCAGCAGCATGATCTAGCGCCCTCCCGTCGCATTCGCGGAGGCGTTGAGGAGGTCGACGCCTTCCCAGGTCTCCTCCAAGGTTGACGAGCCACCGCGGCCAAACTTCACGGCCATGTCGGTCACCAGCACCGTGACGTTGGACGCCGCCTTCGTCAGGACACCTCCCGCGTCGGCAATGTCCTCGGAGAGGCTGATGACGGCGCCCACTCCCTTGGCCAGCGTGGGCGAGAAGCTCGGCGGGCTGATCCGCAGCGCCAGCAACAGCACGGCGCCCGGCGACAGCCACCAGGCGCGGCCCACGCTGAACAGGCCTGCCAGGCCCTTCCGCCACGGCGAGGGGCGCGGCCGCCTCGGTTGGGGCGGCGGCGGCGCGGCCACAGGCGGTCCCTCGGCTTCGGAGCTGGCCGCGAACGGGTTAAGGACCCCGCTGGGCGGCGTGCTCCAAGGCGAGGGAACTGCCACCTGCCCAAACGGCGTGCCCACCAGCGACCACGAAGACGGCGGTGACAACCCTGCTGGCAACGTAGAAGCAGGTGAAGCTGACTTAGCTCCTGGCGACTTCGGGCCGCCTGGAGCAGGTGAAGCCGTACGCGAGCCCCTCGCGGACGGCGGCGTCAAACTCTTCGCTGAGGCCGGCGGCGTATACACACCGCCCGCAGACGTGCTGCCTACTTGTGGCGCCATGCTCAGCGGTAGGGAGGCCGTAGGAGGTCGTGTCGTACGTAGTGTTTCCAGCCACCAGCCGCCCAGCGCAACTGCTTCTCGTGCCCCGCGGTGAGGAGGTCCGTCAGCACCGCGTTGGCTGACTGGACGTCCAGGTAGATCCTGAGGCTCGAGTCGCTCACCCAGCGGCCGCCCTCGCGGATCTCGGCGAACGGGACGCCCTCGGCGCGGGAGTCGGTAGCCCAGCCAGCGCGCGGGCTGTGCGGGCCCCAGCCCACAGTAAGCCCCAGCGCCGCTTCGGCTGTCTTGAGCAACGTGCGGTATTGTGTGATGCTGCAAGGGAAGAGAGGCTGATCGTGAGGGGTCTGCTGCACACAACTCCAAAGGGCCTCGATGATGTCGGAATGAACTCCTGGGAGCATGGCCACTTGGGGCCGCTGCGCTTTCGTACCGAAACGGACACCCAAGGCCAGGACCACTGGATCACACTTTCCGTCGATAGCACGATGGTGAGGAAAGGAAACGTGTTGTGGGCGCAGGCCGAGCATCTCCGACGGTCTGAGTCCAGCATGGCACTGCAGTACAATACCTAGGCCGAGCCTCACGTGGCCTGCGGACGCCAAGTAGATGCACAGGAGCTTCCCTGGCGCCTTACCCAGCGGGACAGTGTGCTTGATAACTCGAGACCTCTCCCAGCCTCGTAGCACCGCATGTGCCCACTTCAGCTCGCCTTTCATTCGAGGGAAAAACAGTTCCACCGCCGCCAGTAGATTGCAAAACGTGGACGGTGTCAGCAAGGACTCACATGCATTCTTGTACTCCACCAGCGCGTCGCCCCACTGGTCCGGGCCGACGGGGTTGAGGTGGTTGGCGAGGGCCCACTCCGAGAAGCTGCGCGCCTCACGCCTGTACGTCTCGATCGTCTGCGGCTTGACTCGTGCCGCTTGGTGGTGGTCTAGGCGCCGCGGCCCACGCCACCTCATTTGCGTCGTGACAGCCAATCTGCTGCCTGGTGCTTGGTGTCCACCCAGGGCAGCACGAACATGATGCCTGTAGCTAAACATAGAGCAGCTCGTCGACGTAGAAGGAGGTTGAGTCCAGCAGCTGACGAGCGGCCCTTGGCCATGGCCGCGGAGAGGCCCTCGTTGTCCTCCAGGTTGGCGACCAAGTAGCCGTGCGCCCCTGGGGCGCGGCTGAGCGCTGCGAGCAGCTTGAGCGCTGCCCTGCCTTCGCCCAGCGTTATGTGGTCTGGGCGTTGCCATCGCCCTGATCCCAGCTCAGTCCATTCGCACTCAGGCTTCTCAAGCAGGCTCCGCGGCACCTTGGAGACGGCGATGCGATTCGCTATCTCCTTGTCCGCCCTGTTGAGGTGGCCGACCCTGCCGTCGAGCCGCGCAACAGTGTGGCGCGGCCGCGTGCCAGCTGCCACCAGGTCCTCTCGCTCGATGATGCTCGCGGCGGTCCCGACGATCCCGTAGCCGCCGAAGTCGTCCTCGTTCGAGCCCTCGGCGTCGGAAGAAAAGACCAGCGGCGCCACCGGAGCGTTGAGCGCGCATTCCATCGACAGCACCAGGTGTGCCATGGCCTCCAGCTCTCGCCGAGCCGAGGGCCACCAACTGATGACCTGGTTGGCGTGCTTCTCGGTCATGCTGAAGATCGCGTGCGGGACGGACATCAGCTCCCGCTTCAAGAGGGCGCCCCACAGCCAGGCGCCTACGACCGCTCTCAGTAGCTCCACGTCGATCCAGTCGACCTCCAGCAGCCACAGGCAGCTCTCGCGCAGCAGCCAGCCCTTGTGCGGGTCGAAACGTAGCGCGGGCGGTGACCTCTGCACGCGGTACCCCGCGGCCTTCAAGTTGTCCTCGGCCGCGACCCGCTCGGTGACCAGAAACCCCTCGCGCTCCCAGCCGTCCGCGACCTGCTGCATCAGCTCGTCGCACTTCGGCTCCTCTGAAGCGGGGCCCACAGTCAACGCCAAGCCGTCGTCGACCAAATGTATTTCGCAGGGACCGCCATGATCAACTTTCTGAGCTTCTCGGGATCTTTCTTGGGGACCGCGCTGACGCCGTTGATGGCCTTGATGTCGGCGCGGCGCATGTAGGTCCATAGACGTGGTGGGAGGTCCTGGCGGCATAAGTACTTGGCCCACTCCTCCTGCGAGCCTCCCAAGAAACCGTAGTGCTGCTCCAGCTCCCGCAGGAGCTGCTCGCTCATGCCGCTCCAATCCACCACGTTGCTCTCCTCAGCGTAGAACTGG